CTAAACAATAGGTTAACTGATATAACGCACATCAAAGGGAGTCAAAACTAATATCTTGACTAACAACTGACTCGGTACAATGAGTGCCCGCTGCACAACCATGAAGTACCCATGATGACTTTATTGACATTTTCAATGAATAAGATAGTGCTATCCAAAATAAAGATTACTTTAAGAAAGCACCAACAATGAAAATAGGAGCTTACCTCTCTGACCCTAAAAAATATTATGCCTACTATAAGGAGCTCGACTATGACACAAATGAATGCAAACACCTTTGAGGCCTGATCAAGGAGCTGATCAAGGTTGAAAAGCTAAAGAAGTTTTTAGCTCAAGGAGTAAGAACCCAATGACAAAAAAAAATTAGCAGTGGAAGAAATTTCGGATGAGCCAGCTCAAGTGCATGCCATCCGCATTATTTCCATAGTTCCTGTCATCTTGGGAGGAGGTGGAGAATCATCTCGTCGGGCCAACTTGAAAAGGCTTAGTTTGGAAGAACTATGCACATATGCCCTCATTCCCAAACGTAGCACTCATCCCTCCATTGCTTTCATCAAAAAAGATTTAACTATGAGGGGAAATCCTTACAACGACAACAAGCTGTGGTAATGATGGTAATAAGAAGCAATAATGATGTTGGCTAGCAATGATGAAAGCGAATAGTGGCAAATTGAGAGAAAATAGTGGTAATGCGTGATGGTGGTAGCCAGTGTTGTTAATTATAAGGTTGCCAATGATGATGGTGATCGATGGTGGCTGATGGCGTTGTTTTCACGTGGTGTATTATAGTTAGTGATATCAAAGAGTGAACATAAGCGACAAAGGTTATTGCAAAATGTGGTGACACTAACATCTAGTGATGGGGTGAGGGAGTTGGCGATTAATGATGATCGGTGGTGGCTGTTAACAAAATTCATTAGTGGAGACTATGACAGTTGTGACTAGTGCAACTACCGAAGGTGGAATATTATGGTCTGCAATGGAGTTTGCAACATATTTATAAGGCACTAGAAATAATCTAATAACTACATTTCATTTTCCTTAACCAAACATTCAAATTATTCAAACACCTACATTTGACATGTATTTCACTTATTTTTCTTTATAGAAAACATATCCTAAATAAAATTTGAACAATCAATTCAATGTTCTTTTTTATTAGCCCACAAAATGATATCACATCCATTTATTAATGAGAGATTCAAAATGTTGATATAAAAATAAACATTGATTGTGGAAAGAGCTAAAGGGTCTTTCCAAATTCCAACTTGAATAGTATGTTTAACAAAAAAGTTAGTGTTTGCATTGAATATATAATGCACTTAGGCCTTGAGACTTTGGATCTCAAAAAGTCATGAAATTGCTAGCTATGTCTCATAGTACAAAGAGAAAAGTTCACATCACTAATCGCATACCTTATTTACCCTTTAATCAAGTAAGTTTATTTTTGGATTTATTTTCAGAAGACTCAAAGATGTTCAGTCCTTAGACTGTCCCAATATAGAACCATAAAATTTAATACACTACTTAAGCATAAATTGGAAGCAACAATAAGTTCAATGCCATTTTTATCTTATAAACAATACTTAAAGTGGTGAATACGAGTAATCAATGCCCATATATTTAATTCGGCATTGCACTTCACAACCATGAAATAAAATGAATTTTGTGGGAAGGGACACCATTGTTAATGAATCTAACAGTTACCAATGTAAGCATTTTCGAACAAAGATAGCTCTCAATCAACAAAACAAAAGAGCATTAAAAGAATGTTTTAAAATTTAGAATATCTTCATAAGGGAAACAAATTTATTCTTCTAGAAAGCCAACAAATCATTTATCTTTTTATGTGGTGCAATTTTTGGTTTGTAGCCAGTCAACAGAGAGGTAGTCCAAGATATTTGATGGAAAATAAGCTTTTTTGATGCCCATGTCATAAATAATATCTATCTTGATTAATAATCAATCAGGGAACCATATCTATATAACTTCCATTTCTATATAGTGAGAAAGAGTTGATGTCTTGCTTAACTGCCTGAATAGTAGATGGCCAGGCATTTCCCAAAACTAGAAGTCAATGACAAACAAAAAATGTGAGATATAAGTTTGTATTTCCCATTAAAGTTTATTTTTTCTTAGCCTTCAAGCATAGAGCAAATGTCCATTCATTTGGAGAGAAGGAAAGAGGATAAGGGATAAGGGATAAGAGAAATCCTTATCATAGGCCATTAGAAGAATTACACAAAAATTTCCTCATTAATAACAATAGCGAAGGAATTGTTTATAATGCATGTAGAGATCTAACTAATGAACATTTGAGAAAGAATTTTTGTTGTAGACAAGGAGGATGAGTTTCTGCTACTAAAAGCCTAATGAATATCAAAATGAGCATAAAAAGACCTATCATTATTCCTTTAAGATATAAGTGAACTCATAAGCTTGAACATTAATTTCAATAATACCCCTGATGAAAGCACATTGTGTTAGGTGGATAAGAAAGTAATGGACATCCTCGAGAAAGTAAAAAAAATAATTGCTAATCATTTTATTAAAGGTATTAATTAGACTTTGAGATGGGCTGATCAACAACCACCAAGCAAGGGCATTTCATCTTGGTAGTAAGAGTGATAAGGGTATGCTTGGCCAACCTAAGAAACTTGGAGTTAATGAAGAAGTAATGAGTGGAATGAAGATGTTGAGATTCACTTATATCCCATGAATTAGTAAGAAATTTGGTTGTGAACTCGTAAGGGTTCAAGATTTTATCATGAGTTAGGATGTGAAAGGCATAAGTTTTTTTCTTACCAAAAGTTTGAAAACCATGAACATCCAATAAATGGTTGGAGTAGATCCAATCGAAATATCATTAAAAGAATCAAGAATATTATGAGGGCTATTGAAGCGATTATTATATTTCTGGATTTTTTCATTTGAAATTGTAAGTTCTTCATAAATCATCCCCTAAAACATAGTAATCTATTTGTCTAGATTTCATTCTTTCCTTGGTTGAGTTATAGAAGAACTTGAGCACTTCATATCCTTTCACAAACTAGGAAGTTTTAGCAAGCTATTTCATTTATTAGTTTTCAAGAGTAATGACGAGTATATTTTTCATACAAAAGTTTGGCTTTATGTATGAGTAAGAAGTTATTGGGTATAATCTCCAGTTTATAGAGGGCATCCCTTTGATCTTTATTAAAGGTGGTGATCGAATTGATGAAGGGGAAGCCATTATCCTATTTGATGCCCCAAAAGATTTTCTAGACTTCTTTAAGCTTCATATGAATAACAAAAATGGGGCCTCCATTAAGAAAACAACCAAAAGCAAAAAAAAAAAAAGATCATAACAATAGTCTTGGAAATGTCTAATATTTCAAGAATAATAGTTAATGCTAAAAAAAACAAGCATTTCGTAATCTTAGGAACATTATACATGAGACACATCATTTTGTAATATGATAATGGGCAAATGTTAAGCCAAAATAAGCTACAAGAGATCTTACCATTTTTCGTCCAAATGGCATTGTCAATTTAGAGAGTGGACCAATGAGTAAGAGTAGCTCTAGGAAGCTCCATAATATCAATCTCAATGCAATCAAGACTTCCAATTTGTAGTAGGGTATATGATTCTCACTAATTTTATCTTGATAAGAGAGGACATAATTAAAGTCACCCAGGGCCAACCAACTAAAAGTGATAAAATGATAATAAATGATGTAGAAAAGCCTAAATGTCATTCCTTCAAAATATTGCATGGATGAAAAATAAGATTTTTTCTTGGAGTGAAAAGCCCCTCCAAGAATAAGCTAATAGGTAAGCATGGTAAGGTTGAATTTGTTCATATTTTGATTCCGTCTGACACAAATTTCCCCTCTAGAATTGGATAAAAATTTATTACAACTATCTTCATTTGAAAATGCAATCATAGTTCATTGCATGAGATGACCCAACTGAAGACTTTGATAAATATTGGTTACAATACGACAAGAAAGGTAAAAATGCAAATCTCAAACAAGAATTTTGCAATCTCAAATATGTTCCACTGCTTGGAGACCTCTTAAATCCCATGATGCAGTATTGAAAGGAGCATAGAGAAGCAAATTCACTAAGAGTTTTGTGGGAAGGTTAGGTATGTTTAATGTAATGTTTGCCTTTCTCAAACTTGAGAGGAATTACCGGCCTTGAAAGGAACGAGGGGACTTTAATAGTGTCAGTAGTGGAGCCCCCTAATAAATATGTTTGAAATAGGTGGGGAATTAACATAGAATTAAGAAGGGGCAACAGTGGTTGGTTAAGATCATTAATATAGGTGTGAGAGGAGCTGGAAGAAGTTGATTGAAAGATAAAACGGTCAGAGGGTTTAGGTATATGATCGAGGAGGGGGTGGGAAGATGTTTCTATTGAGTTTTTATCACAGTTAAGTTGCTTCCTTGGACAAGCTCTGCATCTGTTCCTTCCTCCAAGAAATATCTATATATCTATATATATATGAAAGATTTGGGCTTCCAATCACACCAATTTTTCTACACATACTTAATGCCAAAACCATTGAGGTTAATGGGAACCAAGTCTAATAATGTGGAGCAAGGAGTGACTTATCTGCAAACGCTGGCAATCGTCATCTGGGATTTAAATACAGTGAAACTATCAACAACAAAAGGAATTTCAACGATATTCTACCTTCGATAAATCACAGGCATTCCTAAAACAATAGCAAAAATTGGTAGTTTAATCCAAAGAGTATATTTGCAGGAGTTGTTTGATGAGCTTGAAGTCCCCAATAAAATTATTGAATAAAAATGGCCCACCATTGAGAAGGCACAATCCAACTCATTGCAAGAGAAATCAAACAAGTAAAAGATCTCCAAACAATGTAAAAAAGTGTAAAAACCACTAAGTTTTCATTACCTTTTAGCACATATAACCACTACCCATAAACCAGCTCCTCGGTAGAATATGACATTTTTTTGTTGGCACCAATCGAAGTCTTTGGTATTTTCATTCTTAGCATACAATAATTCCTTCAAATTGAAAGCATTTCTACTTGACGATGAAACAAACAGGAAAGCAAACAAACATGAAAGCAACTACTTTCACGAGATCATTTCAAGGAGTAAAACAAAACATGAAAGAAGAATACTAAAAAAAAAGAGTTGCCGTTAACATAAGAGTCATAACCTTGAAATAGGCAGCAAAATTTGAATTCAACAATGACCACAGACGAAATCACCATCAACAACGAAAACAAACAACAGTGGAGGTTAAGCAGGAAAGGCAGCAACTCAATATTTGTAGCCCTTCACATGAAGACTCTCCGATGCCCCCTCCCCAAGGCTAGCACCACCCTTGTAAATCCCCAATGTAGCTTCCGAGTTCGCCTTGCATCGAACCAGGAACGACGCCCTCGCCTTCTCCAAATTCTCCTCCTTTCCAGCCCATGCCTTGAGCGTGCTCTGCTGCAGCGCGCGTCCAAATGAGAAAGACAGAGACCACGGCTTCTTTCCACTCAGCTGATTCATCGCATTCAGATTAAGAGTCGCCTCCTCCTCGCTTTGCCCACCGGAGAGAAACACGATCGCAGGTACAGCCGCTGGCACCGTCCTCTGTAGTGTCCTCACAGTGTGTTCCGCCACCACCTCGGGTGAGACCTTAGCTGCATCGGAGCCAGGAGTCACCATGTTGGGCTTGAGCAGCGTCCCCTCGAGGAGAACCTTATGGTCATTGAGTGCCTTGTAACACGCAGCGAGGACCCTCTCTGTGACCTCAGCGCAGCGGTTCACGTCGTGAGAGCCATCTACGAGGATCTCTGGCTCAACTATGGGTACAAGACCGTTCTCCTGGCAGATGATGGCGTAGCGTGCGAGGCCATTGGCGTTAGCGTCGATGGCGAGTTGGGAAGGCTCATTGGGTCCGATATTGAGAACAGCTCGCCATTTGGCGAAGCGGGCGCCTGCTTCATAGTACTTGGCGCAGCGCTTGCCAAGATCGTCATGGCCCTGAGTAGTCGTCTCGCCGTTGGTGCCGGCTAGCTCGATGGTGCCTTTGTCGACCTTGATGCCGGGGAGAACGCCGCCTTCCGTAAGGACGTCGACAAAAGGCTTCCCATCGGCGGGGGGGGGGGTGTGGGGGGGGGT